AAGCGACAATAATAAAATGGCTAATTCACCTACACAAGTTAACAATTTTACAGCTTGTAATTAAGTCTACGCTAACTAGCTTTCAAACTATTGGTTTATTCCAAAACTTGCAGCACTTTCAAACTATATTACGACACAACAAAAAGTTTTGAAAACACGTAATGTATGACATTTATGTTAATTACTTTAACACCATTATGACAACCACGTGATCTGTGAACGTGACGAGGGCCATAGACCACATCACACAATACACAATGTTTTAGCAAATGTAGTTGAGTGTCACTCAAACTATTATCCTAACCACATGACATCACTGACGTTATCCTAACCACATTACGTCACTGACGTTATCCCAACCATAAGACGTCACTGACGTTAGCCCAGCCATAAGACGTCACAACACTAGCCTTTACCCCAACCACAACACAAACCCCAACTACAAAATCACCACAACACAAACCCTAACACCAATACCAACCCAACACCAACCTCTACCTCAACCGCAAAACCAACCTTTACCACAACACCAACCCCAACAATAGCACCAACCTCAACCTCAACACCAACCACAACACCAACCACAAGGACAACAATAACAACAACCCCAACACCAACCTTTACCTCAACACCAACCTCAGCCACTACAACCACTACCCCAACCACTACAACAACCCCACCACCAACCCAACCACCAACCCCACCACCAACCACCACCAACCCACCACCAACCCCATCACCAACCCCATCACCAACCCCACCACCAACCCCACCACCAACCCCACCACCAACCCCACCACCAACCCCATCACCAACCCCATCACCAACCCCACCACCAACCCCACCACCAACCCCACCACCAACCCAACCACCAACCTCACCACCAACCCCACTAACCCCACCACCAACCCCACCACCAACCCCACCACCAACCCCATCACCAACCCCACCACCAACCTCACCACCAACCCCACTAACCCCACCACCAACCCCATCACCAACCCCACCACCAACCCCACCACCAACCTCACCACCAACCCCCCCCCCCACCAACCCCACCACTAACCCCACCACCAACCCCATCACCAACCCCACCACCAACCTCACCACCAACCCCACTAACCCCACCACCAACCCCATCACCAACCCCACCACCAACCCCACCACCAACCTCACCACCAACCCCCCCCCCACCAACCCCACCACCAAGCCCACTAACCCCACCACCAACCCCATCACCAACCCCATCACCAACCCCATCACCAACCCCACCACCAACCCCACCAATGTCAAACAACGACTCACGTGTGTACTGAGGGCGGATGGTCGTAGACATCATAGGGCAGGTGTGGAGGCTGGCCGGACGTGGAACAATACGACGAGCTGATCTGCTGCTGTTGCTGATGGTGTTGTGTCTGCTGCTGGTGGTGCTGCGTCTGGTGCTGGTGCTCGCATGAACTGTTTTGTGGTAGGTTCTGCTGGTGTATGCTGTACTGGTAGTGCTGCTGTTGGTGCTTCAGCTGGTCGGCCAGCAGGTTGAGGTGGTGTCTTTGATTGGACGGGTCGTGGGTCAGATGACCTTGACCCTGGCCTTGACCCGAGTAGCTGAGGTGCGAGAGGCTGCAGCTGCCGTTGGAGCCGTGGTTGTAGGGGGAGCCGTGGCCGAGAGCCGCTAGGGTGAGGGCCTCGTCTTGAAGACACCTGGAGGGGGGAGAAATGTAAAGGTGAGTGGTACTGTCAGGTGTATGGTACTGAAGGTAGGTAAGGTAGAGTTTATGTGAGGGAGTGTAAAGGTGAGTGGTACCGTCAGGTGTATGGTACTGAAGGTAGGTAAGGTAGAGTTTATGTGAGGGAGTGTAAAGGTGAGTGGTACCGTCAGGTGTATGGTACTGAAGGTAAGGTAAGGTAGAGTTTATGTGAGGGAGTGTAAAGGTGAGTGGTACCGTCAGGTGTATGGTACTGAAGGTAAGTAAGGTAGAGTTTATGTGAGAGAGTGTAAAGGTGAGTGGTTCCGTCAGGTGTATGGTACTGATGGTAAGGTAAGGTAGAGTTTATGTGAGGGAGTGTAAAGGTGAGTGGTACCGTCAGGTGTATAGTACTGAAGGTAAGTAAGGTAGAGTTTATGTGAGAGAGTGTAAAGGTGAGTGGTACCGTCAGGTGTATGGTACTGAAGGTAAGGTAAGGTAGAGTTTATGTGAGGGAGTGTAAAGGTGAGTGGTAACGTCAGGTGTATGGTACTGAAGGTAAGTAAGGTAGAGTTTATGTGAGAGAGTGTAAAGGTGAGTGGTACCGTCAGGTGTATGGTACTGAAGGTAGGTAAGGTAGAGTTTATGTGAGGGAGTGTAAAGGTGAGTGGTACCGTCAGGTGTATGGTACTGAAGGTAGGTAAGGTAGAGTTTATGTGAGGGAGTGTAAAGCCCAAAAGAGAGGTATTTTACAGAAAGAGATATAATAATAAATAAATAAATAAATGCATTTCATACACAAACACATAAATGAATAGTCGCCGAAAAAACTTCAATACGACGGAAGACAAATTCTTACCGTAACATTTTTAAAATTCAAATTATACACATTTCCATGTCGAACAGTTGTACAGCATCCAGTTAGAATCTACAGTAATCAAGATGTTCTAGAATATTCCACAGGTGCTCTATAGTAACAGTGTGTTCTAACTATGTATCACATTGAAAGCCTACTGTAGCAGTGTGTTCTGAAGCGCTACACTGATATTGTATACTTTATAGTGGCACTATGTTCCATGGTGTACAAAGGCTCTCCAGTACATGATTTATTGACGCATTAACGAAACCGCTAATTACTGGTAATTAAAGGCCTAAACCACTTTGAAAAAAAAAAACAGTAAACTGAAATCGCTAATTGCTGATAGTTATAAGTATAAAACACTTTTTTTTAAAACGTTCAGGTCTAATTTTTTTTTTTAATTTAGTTAAATATTTTTTAAATAAATTATTTTATTTAGTCTCCGAGACTGTTTCACAAGTCCAAGACAAACAATATTTAAAATACAGGATTTGAGACTAGATAAATAGAACTGGTTTGACTTGTAAAACGATGCGGTTAATTAAGTACATGATCAGCAATACGTTGGGAAAATAATCAGTTGAATTAATTGGCTGAATAGTAAATTAATTGATGACAGGGATGAGAATAACTTAGCTGACTACTCATACAGCAATGTTTTTTTTTAAGCCGGGGCAGTTTTATTCAAGCAGGTTGTCCGATGGCCAAGAGAAGGCGGTGGAGGGTAGGAGACAGGGCTATTAATTAATTTCCTGTTGAAACAACTGATTGGGGGGGGGGGGGGTGCGGAGGTTCTGTGTACACTGCAGAAATTTAGAAGAATATCACAGAAACAGGTGAACTCTACTTCATCTTACACATGGGTTGCTAGGTCCGGAGTGGGAACATTCTTATAAATGGGAAATCATAATTTGCTGAGGTTGGTCACATGGACGCCAGCAATGTCCGTCTCTAGATCTACATCTACATCCTGTCGCGGTCTGATTGGCTTAAGATCATTGGTCGAGCCGGTTAGTTCGTGTAAAGAGGGATCAACCAAAAGCCAAGTTACTACGAGTATATACCATGGTAGGTGGCGCTATTCGCGAGATTACAATTTAAAAAAAAAAATTCAGAGACCCGGGGAAGTGTAAGTCTGGCATTATGTAAATCGTGAGGGACGTGTGTTCGAATTAGGCAACATAAGAAATGGCGCTAAATTGGACGCATCGAAGAAAGAAAGGGAAGGCCAATGGAGATGTGGAAGAGCACTGCAGGGAAGCAGCCGAGACAGGACTGTCATGAGGGACTGCCGAGAATATCGCCAGAGACCGGCAAAAGTGGAGGGAGCTTTCTGTAGTGGCCCCATGAGCACAAAGGGAAGAGATGATGAATATTTGACAATTGTACCAAGAACAAGGTCACATAAATATTATTCAAACTGTGTGCAAAAATTTCAATAAATTCTTTAATAATATTAATGTAGAATGTATACCGTAAAGATTTTAAACACTTAGGAATGAATGCGTGGTTATTTTTTAAGTGGCTCATAATGGCATTTGGTAATACATTAGGAGGGGGGGGGGGCTGAAGCGGAGAAGGTATGGGATTATGGAGGGATTCTATCACTATTGGTCAAGCCATCGGCCCATTTATCAATAGCAAATGTTTCAAGGTAGGCCTACTTCTTAGGGGTGACAATTTACTGAGGTCACAATGTCTGTCCGTGGGTTTGGGCTCAAATCCTGCAACTCGGCGTGGTCGAGTCGGTAAAGCTCATGGTTGCTAAACCGAAAAGTCTCGAGAGACAACTCTAAAATCAAACAACTGCTGCCTTGTAGTTTGTTCTTGGTTGGACAAAGGCTATGGAAGCAAATCCAAAAAGAAAAGCAGGCTGAAATCGGAGTCAATGGCCTCAATGGCGCATAACCAGTTGACACGTAATCCTTAATTGTGATGGAAGCATGGTCGAGTCGGCAAAAGCTCATGGTTGATAAATTCGAAAAAAAAGTCTCGAGTTCAACCTCTCTGGCAGATAAGGCTCGATCCCTCCCAACACTTAAAATTAAGAACGGAGAAGAAGAAGAAGATATTCTAATGCAGCGATAACCAGATAAACACATCTGCGATGACAACGCAAGGATGTATAGTTAACAATGTAACTAGGTATTAGTCATTAATAATAATTCAAAGTACTATATTCAATAACAAAGGGATGGGGGTGATCACGGGTAAGTAGTATCGATCTATCGATCAACCAGGTGACTGAGGTGATTTGTTCACAGCTGTTTTCACACCTCAGACCCGGTGCAAACATTAATATTAATAAAGGGTAGATAACTGTCGTTTAAGTTAGCAAGCAAGTGATGGGGAGGGTGGGGGGGGGGGGGTAGGGTTTACGTGAAACCGTGTGGCAATAGTGGGAAATAATAGAGGGGAATAGATCTAGATCTATGTGTAACTAGTGGATTGCCACAAGGCTGTTATCATTGCGTAATTTTTTAAATTAACTTTATACTAGTTTAGTTACATATGTTTTAAGCTTTGAAAATATTCATCATATATTGTATTACAGTTGTACACAGTGTAATAAAAAGTCGATGTTAGACAACAAACTTTTTAAATTAAGGCGAACAGACTTGATAATGTTTAACCTTGTACAACGTTAATTGTATTTTTATAGTAATTCGAAATCCAGCACTTATAAGCTAAAGAATTATTTTTGACACAAACAATATCCACATTCACAGATCCACATTCCACTTAATTCGAATTGTTTTTATCCCATCGGAATCCCACTATCGAAAACAGGTTGAGTCAGTACGTACAATAAACCACCGCAGCCCGGTAAAGACGACATTGTGTTTTTTATGACCTAATGGCGGGGGACAATGTATCCACTTCCTGCACGAGTTGAGATGTTACCGTACACCTGTCAAAATTTGTCGTCTCGTACCGTACACCTGTCAAAATTTGTCGTCTCGTACCGTACACCTGTCAAAATTTGTCGTCTCGTACCGTACACCTGTCAAAATTTGTCGTCGCGACACTACCGTCAGTGTCAGCTTTTGGCCAGTGGTGTGGGTGATGGATGGACGGAGACTATTTGAAGTGGGCTGTAAACCCTCGTGTTTTCATTCAGTTAGGGGGGGGGGGGTACTTATATTGTACAGTACAGTTGTCGTTTTATGTGCAGTATAGGAAAAACAAATTTTAATTATGGCTTGATACAATTATAATGCTCTAATCAATTAGACATACCCATTTCTTGGGTTAACAAGCCGATAACAAAGTGTTAACACTTCGGATTAGACTTAAGGCATGGTTTAAGGTCAAGATTAGTGTTGTGTTAAGTAAAAGTTTGTGGTCAAGTAACATGGGGTTATGAGTATGGCTAGTGTGGTAGATCTACCAATGTAGGCCTACTCAATGTAGCAAACCCGTTAACAAACTTTCTTACCTTAAATTCTGGACCCAATCCACAGTAAAAATGGCACCGTTAGTTAGATCTTAATGAATTGACTCAAAAATGTAATCACAGTAAACTCGACTGCCATGTGGAGTTTATGATATTCTATGTTGTCCAACAAAACACTGATTAAAACATGAGATTTTGTAAGTTCTTACAGAACAATGATAAAACGATGAGATTTCCCCTCTGCTACTTTAAGGAAAGAAAAAAAAAACACATAGGGCAATGTTGATATGATAATTTATTCAGATTGAGGCTCGAGGTCACGAATCTGATTGGTTATAAATTCTATAATCATTCAGTCTATGTAGACTATACTGTTGATTTTTTTTTATTTCACTAAATTTAACATTGTACTGAACCTACACGGGACAATTTTAAAAAAAAATTAATTTAGCAGCACCTAAAGGCCATTTTAAAACTCAAAGCATTTGATATTTGACCTCAGTTCGTCCCTCCACATTTCATACTGTTCATCAGACAAGCACAGAAAGAATGATTAGTATGCAACACATTGTTTTTTTTTTAATGCTGCTTATTTTTAAATACAATAATATCAAATATTCTAATGTGTGTGTACAAATGTAATCATTATCAGCTTTTTAAAAATATAACTTTTTGATGGGGTCAGGAACGAAACAAAACAGTGTTTGAAAAATTACCAATAAAACACAAACGAAGACAAACAAGTTTCCGAAAAAAAAAA